CGTGCCTTTAATCCCAGCACTTGGGAGGCAGAGGCAGGTAGATCTTTGTGAGTTCAAGGCCAACCTGGTCTACATAGCGAGTTCCAGGCCAGCTGGGCCTACAGGGAGGCGCTGTCTCAAAATAATAATTATTATTATTGATAATAATAATAATAAATAACAAATAGATACTCTAAGAAATAAAAGAGCAGCAAATACAGGGCACAGCTCCCTCTCCGCTTCCCTCATTTCTCTTTTTCTTCTGCTTTTCACTGGGATTTTGAAAACTTTGGAGAGCAGATGCCAGCAGACGTCCCTCTCTGCCCAACTGACAAAGCACATATGGAAGAACATCAGAAAGATACTGCGTCCCTCTGCCTTTGCAGGGTACCCCAGCACCCTACAGAGCTTAAAGCTATACCAGCTCTTCTCAAGGTCAGCTCCAGAATCCCACAGTTGGGCAAAGGTGGTTTGGAGCCAAGGTGATGAGTTGGCAAGTGGAATGGAGGAGGTCTTCTTTGCCCACTTCTGCTCAGCCGAAGCATGGAAAACAAGGTACACACACATACCATGAAAGCAACCCAGTGCCGCCCAGACTAGGCAATTCCACAGCCATGGAAGCAGGCTGAACCAACTCTTTCTTTTTTTTTAATATTTTTACTTATTATTTTTATTTTGTGTGCATGAGTGTTTTGCCTGCATGTAAGTGTACCCATGCCATGCAATGCCCATGGAGGTCAGAAGAAGGCATTGGATTACCCAGGAACTAGGGTCAAAGATGGTTGTTAGCCACCATGTGCATCCTGGGAATCGAACCCGGGTCCTCTGCAAGATCAACCAGTACTCTTAACCACTGAGCCATCTCTCCAGGCCCCCAATTCTTTCTTTGAAAAAACAAAAATACAGCTGAGCGTGGTGGCGCACGCCTGTAGTCCCAGCACTTGGGAGGCAGAGGCAGGTGCATCCCTGAGTTCTAGGCCAGCCTGGTCTACATAATGAGTTCCGGGACAGCTGGGGCTACAGTAGGGAGACCCTGCTTCAAAAAGACCAAAAAAAAAAAAAAAAAAAAAAGCACCTGTGATGCTTCCTGCTCTTATCCTTCTGGTTCTCCAGCCTCTGTTCTGTCCCCCTGGTGATAAAACCCTTTTCCATCTTTCCAATGGAGAGTCCTTTCCCAATCAAGGTAGACAGCGATGTCTTCTGTTGCTTGTACTCAAGGACCTAATAAAGCATGATTGATGAGGAGGCAGGCTGCCTGAGCTGTGTGCCACAGGGAGTTCAAGGCTTTCTTTTCTGTGCATGAGTGTGTTCTCATGTGTGTGGGTGTATGTGTGTGCAGGTGTGTGGAAGCTAGAGGCTGATGTCAGGACTCTTCCTCAATCCCTCTCCACTTTATTCATTGAGGAAAGGTCTCTCAACTGAACCCAAAGTGTGCCAACATGATTAATCTAACTGGATAGCTTGCTCCAGGATCCCGGCTCTGTCTTCTGATTGCTGTAAGTCAGCCACCATGCCCACCCAGCATTTACATGGGTGCTAGGGATCCAAATTCTGGACCTCACCCTTATGTGGCACATGCTTTACCCACTGAGCCTCCCCCCAGCTTGAAGCTTTATTTTCCAGGAGCCAGAAGAGGTATTAAACTGGGCTCTCGAAGACATTGGAGATATAGAGAAGGGAATGAATTGAAGAACTATTTGGAATAGGGAATGGGCAGGACTTAGTAATGAAGGCATGGAGTGAGGAAGGCTGCATAACACACAACAGTCATCCAACATGCTTCTAAGAACCTGCAATAGGCTTGGCAGGTGGGGGGGGGCAGCAGGGGAGTAAGGTGATCATGCACTGGGTATGAGGACAACTAGGCCAGACAAGGGGAACAGCAAGGACTGAGGGCTGAGGGCTGAGGGTTGCTGTTGTACATTGCCAGGTTTTGCAGCCCCTGGACACTCTGTTGTGGGGCTGCCTCTGTAAGAGGTTTGGCAGCATCTCTGGTCTCTGGGCCACTGGACGTCACTAACATCCCTACACACTGTTCAGAGCAACCTAAAGGTATTCAGACATTGCCTGTCTCCTGGTGTTGGTGAGGGGTGTGGTCTATTGTAGATGATTTGGACAATTTGGGGGGGGGCTAGTTATGGCTAAGCACATCTGTCTTGGCAAATATTTCATATATTTGGTAAAACTGCATATCTTTGTAATTTTAGAGTATCTAAATTTACTAATGGGAAAACTCAGAAAAATCCAGAATTTGGTTCATTGTATGAGACAGCCTGCCTCTTTAAAATAAAATTCTTTGAAAACAAACAAAAAAAAATCCAAGAAAAAAAGTCTGTCATGAAAACAGCAAAAAACATTAAGAAGAGTGGTCAGAATTAAAGTGATTGAAGAGGGGCAGGGGAGATGGTTCACTGGGTGAAATGTTTGCCATGCAAACAAGAGAAACTGAGCTTAGATCCCCAGCAATCACATAAATGCAGAGCGGGTGTAGGGCCTGCCTGAAATCCCAGTACTCAGGAGGCAGAGACTTGGGATCCCCAAGGTAAGCTGACTGGCTAGACTATGCAAATCAGTGAGCTCTGGGTTCAAGTGAGACGGGTCCTGCCTCAACATATAATGTAGACAGTGATCAAGGAAGATACCTGATGTCAACCTTGGGCATGTACACACATACCCACACACATGCAAACACATGCATTCCATACACATGAATTCCTACCACACACGCACATGCACACACAAAAGGGTGGGGATGGGGGACTGAAGAGATGTGATAGCCAAATAAAATGTGTAAATATGGACTTTATTTTGGAGATGTGATAATGGTATTGGGATTTTGTAAAAGAACCTTGTTTTTTAAGAGATTGATGCTAAAATATTCAGGAGCAAAATGGTACAAATTTATTTTCATATCAGCAAATAAATTTGTCCTTTAATTAGTATACACTAATTAAAACTCAAGTGTGTAAAAGAGCTCAATCTTATTTTCATATCAGCAAATAAATTTGTCCTTTAATTAGTATACACTAATTAAAACTCAAGTGTGTAAAAGAGCTCAATCTTATTTTCATATCAGCAAATAAATTTGTCCTTTAATTAGTATACACTAATTAAAACTCAAGTGTGTAAAAGAGCTCAATCTTATAACTGTCTTAGAATATTAAAAAAAAAATTGGAAGCTATGTGCCAAACATTTAAACAATACTTTATTTAAATAAGTTTAAATATGAAAAACTTTCATGTTTTGTATCAGAATTCAGATACTATAGATGTCCAGTAGTGAGCATATTTATATAATTAGAAAGTCTTTTAAAAAAAAAACTTGCATTTTTAAAGGCAAAATACACATTTGCCAGATGCCTGTATAAATGGATGCCAGCCACTGTGCTGGCTTCCAGCTGTATCCTTTTCCTAAGAGCTCCTGCTGAAAAAGGCACCTGTGACCCTAGCACTTAGGAAGCTGAGCAGGGCCATCACCCCACTTGAAGCCAACATAGGCTACACAGAGAAACTGTCTTAAAACATTAAAAGGACAAGCTAGCAAATAAAAATGCTCTGAAGGGGGGAAAAACTTCTTTCCAAGTAGGGTCTTCCATCAACATCTCTGGGTTCCTTTAATCAAACCTCTTAAAGGTTGTTATTTATAAGATAATATAGTGGGAGAGAATGTAAAGTTCTGGTGTTGTTAAACCAGAGGGGGGAAATTATTTTGTTATTACAATGCTACTTAATTTCAGTGCGACCATCTGTGCTGACAAAATGGGCATTTCTATAAATTTTTAAAAACTCGAATTTTCTCTTGCTCTAGTTTGGATCTGGACGCATCCCAATGTCCATGGGCTAAAGACTTGGTCTCGAACCCATGGTGTTATTGGAAGGTAGTGGAACCTTTAATAGGGCCTGGTGGGAGGCCTTCTGGTCATTGGAGGCATGGTCAGGAAGGCACCGTGGGACCTCCATACCCTTGTCTTCTTTTTTGCTTCCCCACCACGATGGGCTGTTTAAGCTTGTTGAAAGTGGTCTCTGGACACAAGGAGGCCCTCCCTAGTCTCAGACTCAAGCATGTTCACATCAAGTGTCCTCCAAAACCCCATCCTGGGTCAGCGTGACCCCTTCTGGCTCAATAACAGGGAGAGAGAAACAGCACCCAGCTAAGAGTAGTAAAACTGTGTCCTTCAGAACAGCTAAGAGGTAACCCATTTCCAACAGATGGTGTTATTGTTTATGCCAGGGTATAAAGACATCTGCAGTGGGAGCAGAAGCCACAAGCTCACTTATGGAGAGAAAGCGCAATAGGGAACGCCAATTGACTGCCTCAACTTCCCCAGTTGTAAGCCCTGGTCTGATGTTACCTCTGTTTCCTCTCTCAATCAGGCTTTCTGTTGTCTCCGCTGGGTGTTGAGTGCCTGATGTGATGGTGTTTGCTATCATCTGCTGCCACTATGTGCTATTTGCTAGTTCTTAAACTCATTCACCAAAACCAAGTATGGATATAGTAACCATTTTTTAGACCACACAACACAACACAGAGCCAATCACTGGGCGTTGGTGGTGCACCCCTTTCTTTAATCCCAGCACTCAAGAGGCAGAGACAGGTTGATCTCTGTGAGATCAAGGCCAGCCTGGTCTATATAGTGAATTCCAGGCCAGCTGGCTACAGAGAGACCCTGTCTCAAAAAAACAGGAAAAAAAAACCAAAACAACAAAAAAAATACTTTTAAAGAATCCACATACAGGAGCTGGAACAATGGCTCGGCAGTTAAGAGCACTGGCTACTCTTGCAAAGGACCATAGTCTGGTTCCCAACACCCATGTGATGGCTAACCACCTTCCTTAACTCCAGTTCCAAGGGATCTGACATTCTCTTTGGCCTCTACAAGCACTACACTCATGTGGTACATAGACATAAATGAAGGCAAAACACTCATACACAAAAAAATAAATAAAAAAATAAAGAATCCACATACATACTAAACACATGACAACAAAGAAGGAAGCAAAGACCTTTATTTTTAAAAAATTCATTTATTAAAAACAGCAATTTCTAGCCAAATAATATAAAGCATTTTAAATTATTTGAAAGTATATACATTCTGTATAAGTAAACACTTGAAACTGTACAGATTTAAACAAATATTCATTTAGCAAACAAGTTGAATCATTACCACCTACCTAGCACTTTGTAAGGTGTTCGAGTGTTTCAGAAACAAAAAATCAAAACACAAGAACAAGTGCCATTAAATACTTTTATCCTGAAGAACACGCTCTGCTATGTACATCAATCTACTCAGTCACAGTACTGTACAATAATCATGCCCTCATTTCTTTGGAAAGGCTATTTAAACACCCAATGTACATATAATACACAAAACTGGATATTACAGTTTATCACATTAGATGTATTTAAAACAGTAAATACAATCTTTCTAACTCGTTCATTTCATGGCAAAGAAAAAAATATGGACCCTCTTACCTTCTGCCTTCCCAAAATATAAAGTAATATGCTCTACCAAGCATTATCCACCACCAACTGAAACTGGGTTGAAAACAAGTGAGCTGTTCTATCAGGATGGGTGACCCACTGTGCAAGAGCCTTCAATAAGCAAGAGAAGCTGCTACCATCATACAGTCTATGCCATCTGGTCGCCAGCCCCATTTCAGAGCCCTCAGCAGTGTCCTACCCTCCAGACGGGGGTTTGAATAATAATTCAGAATTCTTTCTGAACCAAGAAGCAGGTCACATTTACTGCAACACCAGGAACAAAGCCAATCTAATCCCAAATTCAAAAAAGAATCTTTAGGAAAATTCACAGATGTTCATAATCCGTGATCCTTGACTGGTGTGGTGGTTTAAGACATGGGCAGTGTTTGTCAGACTTGGGTATACATGTGAAATTTGTTTGGCTGTGGCAGGACTGGGGACCCTCTAAGGCTAGCACCTAACACAGCATGGGCAGCCAGAGACATACAGGAGTGCTCATGTTTCAGAGGATGGCTGCAGCCAAAGGCCCCAGCATGTAGAAGGCCAGCAGCTAAGTTGCATTCAGAAGACACGCAGCCTCCCAGGGCTCCTTCTCTCTGGGAGGTGCCAGATTTAAGACACCTTCACTGGTGATTCCGATCCACACACTGGCAACTGTGGTATGCAGATCCACATTAGTGAGACCACACCTACCTAGCAGTTCAAGGAGAGGTGCTGGAATCTTACACAAGGCCTTGGCTTCTTTCAACTGCCTCACATCAAGCCCACAAGATAATACCTTGAAGTCCAAGAAAGCAAGATGTCTTTCCAGAAGCAACTAATAAATCCCAACTCAACTTCAACATGGCAGGGAGAAACATTGCATTTGAGTATAGAAATACGATTTCTCCAAATAAACAGTCACTGTGGAATGTTCAGTGGGTCAAAGTGTTGCAGTATTTCGCAGAGGAGCACTTTACTTATAGCAGCCTTCCAGTTAACTGCATGTCCATAAACTTTCCCTACACTATCTATTGTAACCTATTTTTATTGCACAATCCTTGTGAAGGAACATTTCACTTCAAGCCCCTGTGGCCATCTCCTATAACTCTCCATTTCTGATAATGAGGCAGCTACCCCTGCTCATCAAATAATCTTTGGCGTTTTGATGTCTTTAAAAAGGAAACTGATCTTTCCACACTTGGCTTAGGGTTCCTCCTGTAGGCAGCACTGAGCAACATGCCTGTGCAGTATTCAAGGACAGTCCCACGTAGCAGACCTCAGCATCCTGTACGCTGCAGGTTTCCTCAGGCCTCTCCTACAGGGTAGACTGATGACACATGTGGCTCAGCGGGCTTATTTAGAAACAGACAGCAGGAGGTTGAGCTGAAAAGCAACAGAGAGGGCTGGATTAGTTTCACTGTGGGCTTCTCTCAGAAGTGTCAAGAGCCACAAAAGCATACAAAAAGAAAAGGCCTGAGACTTTTACAGCCACTAGAAGCCCTGCAGGGTGGACACATCACTGCCAAATTCAGGCCCTCAAGTCACTTCCAGTACAATGAAAATGGTGGGGAAGTACTCCAAGCTGACAGGCAGAAACGCATCCACACAATCACTCCACCTTTTTCTACTCAGTGTTTCAGGAAGAACTGTTGTAAGCTGAATTTTTTTTTTTCCCCAAAAGTTTTAATCTGTGTGTATGTCTGTGTCAGTACATGAGTATCTGAGAATATGGGTATGTAGGTACGCATGGATGTCTGCAGAAGCTAGAGGGGTCAGATCCCCAGGAGTTGGAGTTACAGGCAGTTATAAGCCACTGGACGTAGGTGCTGGGATCAAACTCAGGTCCTCTGGAAGAGTGGTACATGCTCTTAACTGCTCAGCCATTTCTCCAGTCCCATAAGCTGAATTCTTTAAATGACATTTTTGTTTGTTTGCTTGTTTAAGACAGCAATGCAGCCCAGACTGCCCCAAAAATCAAGATCCTCCTACCTCAGCCTCCTGTGTTGGAATTTATTTGGGTTTTTTTTTGTGTGTTGGTTTTTTTGTTTGTTTGTTTTTTGAGACAGGGCCTCCTTGTTAGTCCCAGCTGGCCTGGAACTCACTATGTAGATCAGGCTGGCCTTGAACTCACAGAGATCCGCCTGCCACTATGAAGTCAAGCATGACCTTGAATTTCTGATCCTCCTGCCTCCGTCTTCCAAGAGCTCTGATTATAGGCATACATCACCACACTGGGTTTATGCAGTGCTAGAGATCAAACCCTGGGCCTCCTGCCTGCTAGATAAGCACTCTACCAACTGGGCTTCATCCCCAGCCCTTACGTGATGTTTTAAATGTCCAGAACAGGCATGCTACATGAGTTTTGAATCACACATTCTCACAAACACAGGAGCAACTTCAGATTTGTCTATTAGATAACATGCCACTAGATAATGGAGGACTGGGACACCACAGCCAGGTCACCCCAGCAACAGGAAGGGAGTGACCACCTAGGCCATGAAAATGAGCTGGCTAGGAACCTTCTACATAGTTCAACTGCTCTGGTAAACACTGTCACCTTCCTCTCTTCTATGAATGTGTGTTGCCAGGGGAAAGGAGACAATATTATCTGTGTTTTTGCTGCCAGAAATACAAAATCTGAATCTAATTGTGAAGAACGAAACATCAAATTGTTGGCCAGTCTTCAAAATAACTAGCCTGTCAAGGTCAAGAAAGGCTGTGGAGCTTAGAGGTTGAAAGAAACTAAAGAAATCCGATCCCTGTTGGCAGCACCTGATTGATTCAAGACTGGACCGAGACCAGGGAGGCTATAGACAATACTGTTAGACAATGATGAGTATGAACTGCGGATCAGATAAGGTATCAACACTGAATTCCCCACTTCCCCACTCCGGTAATTGTACGGGAGTGGGATAGTAAAAGAGGATTTCATTCTCAACAAACACGCTAAAGTAGCAAAGAAGCAAGTATCTCCTACTTCCTCTCAAAGGACTTGGAAGAGGGGCTGGAGGGAGAGCTAGAGGGAGAAAGTAGGAGTTAAAGCAAACAGGAGAGTCAGAAATGGGGTAAAGAATACAAGGAAGCTCCTTACACCATCCCTTCACCTTTTCTCTAAGTCTGAAATCACAACAAACTGGGGCTGGCATTTAACTCTGGAATGTTCCCCAAAGGCCCTGATGCTACTGAGAGGCGATGAGACTTTAAAGAGGCCCACAGGAAGGGGGCCGTGTCTTTGAGAGCTGGTGAGACGTAGTTCTCCTCCTCTTCCTTTTTGCTTCTTCACCACAAGGCGAGTTAACTTAGCTGCACCACATGCTTTCACCACAATCACTGCCTCAATCACAAGCCCCAAAACAACCAGGCCAGCCAACCATGGACTGAAACCCCAAACTATGAGCCCAAACAGACTTTTCCCTTTGTAAATTTATTATCCTGAGTGTTTGTCAAAGTGATGGAAGAATGACTACCATAATCAGCTCCTGTTTATTTCAAAGATTTATTTTCATTATTTTTATGTATGTGTACTTGTGGATATCTCTGTTATGGGTATGTATGTGCATGTGAGTGGAAATGCCCATGAAGGCGTCATATCCCCTGCAGCTGGAGTTACAGGTGGAAGTCACCCAACGTGGATGCTGGGAACTGAACTGAGGTCCTCTGCAAGAGCAGTATGTGCATTCTTAACTCTCCAGCTCCAAAACTGGATCTCACGACCCAGCTATACCACACCTGTTTTTATCTAACTGACTGCGACTCTATCTAACTGAATGGTCTCTCCAATTCATAACCACTAAAGTCGACTGAGCTTTCTTCCTCAAACCTCACACCTCCTCCCCAGTCTCAGCGACGACCTTACACTTTCAGAAACTTGAAGCTCTGAGATGACTGCTTCCACAGGATCTCATCAAACCCACCACCTCCCGCATCTGTGCCCACACACTCAGACTTCTTTTACATGACTAAGCTTCCGCATGTCTCCTAAGCACTCCACTCTGGCTGCTCCTGAGTCACATTCTCTACTCAACACATTTTCTCCTCTTTTTATCTTCCCCATGAATATATAAACATGCATGTCTCCTATCTTAAAGAGAAAGAAAAAATAAATACATGGATAAACCAATAGGTAGCAGAAATGGTTATCCATAAGGGATGAAGGAAAGGCTAGAAGCACTAGAAAACAGAACAAGAATTCTCCAAATTTACCATATGCTACAATTCTGACTTGGGAACCACATAAATATTCTACATAATTCAAAAGCAAAATCAAGCCAGTGAGAGGGCTCAGTGGATAAAAGGTGCCTTTCACCAAATCCAACAACCTGAGTTCAATCCCCAACTATCCACATAAAGCTACATGGAAAGAAAGAAGTTTCAACATGTGCTACAACATGGGTAAGGCTTCAAAACACGCCAAGTGAAAGATGCCAGTTAGGAAAGGCAGTAGGTGACTTCATTTAATGAAATATCCAAAAGCAAGACTGGTGGGGACAGAGGACCAGAGAATCTGCCAGCTGGTAAGGGGTTTCTTTTAGGAGTAATGAAAATGTCATGGAAGGAGACAGTGCTGATGGCTGTACCATCTTACATAAATAAACTAAAAACCACTAAACTCTATAGCTTAGAAGGGTGAATTTTATGATACGTGACTTGTATCTACTAAAGAGGACCCCATTTCTCCCTCCAACCCTCTCCTCATTATAGTAAAATTGCTCAAAATATCCATACTCACTGTCCCTCCTCCCTAGTCTCTTCTCATACTCACTCAGACTCTCAACAACCCGACCCCTTCCAAACTTCTTTCGTTCTTAGCACACACTAAATTCTTAAAACTACAGTAAACATAAGAAATAAAATATTATAGGCTAGTCTTTAATACATAACAGGTATTCAATAAAAATTTGCTGGCTGAACTGAATAATGAATGAGTGCTAACACAAACTTGCTTCACCTTCCGGTTTTTTTTTAAGATAAGAAAAAACTTCTAGAATCAATTCTAATTCCTAAAATAACTTTCATTTCTGGCACTTGAATATTATTATGTCTATCTCAAACAAAATGATTCAGCAAGAGAACTGCCGGCATCTGAGTCTGCTGAACAGGTCATCCATCTTAAATACAGCTATGCTCATTATTAGAATGGATTAAAAACATTACTAGAACTCTAAAATTATTCTCTAAAGCTAGAGACTGCAATTCAAAGTTTGAATTCTTGCTCATCAAAATAAAAATGTAAAGTCTTTTATATTAAAACTAAAAACATGTTTACTCAAATATATTATCTACTCAAATAAAATAACCAAGGGGGCCTAAAGGTATGAAAGGACTTCAGTCTATGGGTACCTGCTCCATGGAAGGACAAGCAATGATCTGGATGTCTTCAGGGGTGAACTCTTCCTTCAGCAGAGCATGGAATTTCTGGAAGACTTGCTGAATGTTATTCTTAGAAGGACAGTAGATCATATCAGATAAGCCAGAGAATATATGCACACATTATAAACAAGCAACATTAAGAACATTAAATCATTTGACAAAATGTATAGAGGAGGGCTGGAGAGATGGCTCAGCGGATAAGAACACTGGCTGTTCTTGCAGAAGACCCGGGTTCAAATCCCAGCACCCACATGGCAGCTAACAACTGTTCATAACTCCAGTTCCAGGGGATTTGATGCCCTCTTCTGTCCTTCTCAGACACTACGTGACATGGATGCACTCACACACGCAGGCAATATACACATACACGTAAAATAAAAATAATTAAAAAATGTGTAGAGGAAATAATTTTTATAAGATTACTGAAGACATGTAACTTATACTTTAATATTTTACATTCTAGCACAAACTGATGGACTTATAGAAAATTCCTAGAGACATTAAGTCCTATCCCCCCCAGAGAATGGTAAGTCTTCACAATTTCTTACTCAGAAGATAATAAAGTTTCAAGATATATAAAATGCATCTTAAAAAAAAAAAAAAAGAACCAACCAAGGCCTTGGGTAAAGATGTGAACTCAACATGAACTGGAAGTTATAAGTCTTAAATTTGCTCTGACACTTAATCCCTTGGTGGCTGTTGTAAGCCATTTGTTGCCACTACTTACTAGTAAAATGGGGCATAAATCCTGAAATGCTGCTCTCTGAGTGATAGACCACAGTGCAATGTACAGATCTGATTTTTTATTAATTTCTACTTTCAAAATTAACATAAAAAAATTTAAGACAAGTGAGCAAGAAGAAGGACAAAGGCAGATGTAGGCTCCAGAGCCCTTTAAAAATCACAATGATTATTAACAATACTAGAGCCTTTTGAAATGTCTAGTAGAAGAGAAACAGTGAGAAAAGCACATTTGAAGTTGCTGGCCAACACTCACACCGTCACTGCACTTACCCTAACAGGCTTAAACAGGATGAACTCAGTGTCTTTATTGGACAGGTACAGTGACATGCTTCTCAATGTCAGCGGCAGCTTCGCTTTTATTGTCTTATAAGCAGTGGCCACAAGGTCATTGACCTTTACTACAAAGAAATTGCCCTTGTTAATGTCACAAAGAAAAAGAAGAAACATTTCCATTTTAATTCAGAGAGGAACACAGAAAAATAGCAAAGGAAAAGACTATTTCCTCAAAAGAATTTCTTTCACATTTCTTGCTATTTATCAAGTTTAATCATAAGCCCTCTAAACATTCACTAAGTATACACTATGTACAAACTCTAACCCCAAGAGCTAGAGCAGTGAAAGAACTCCCCCAGCTCGCCTCTTTTGGACATTTGCAGGGGCTATAATTTGTACCTTTGGAATGTGGAGATAAAAGGTGAGGTTTAAAAACATTAAGTTACTTTTAGAAAGTCATTAGCAGGAGTTACTTAACAAGAAACAAGTTTCTCATAGGCAGAACTGACTCCCAGGTGGGTGTTCTCTGTCTTGAATCCTCCAGAAGATTTCCACATATTTTTAAGCAGAACTATATATCCACATATTACACTCATATTTTATTATCAGAAACAGAACAGAATTCTAGAAGTTTTTAAGTAAAAAGCTATGTACCCAGGTGTAGCACCTGAAAGAACTACATGGAAAGTGTAGTCAGCCATCTGTGTGAAATACTTGAAATATCTAGACAGCTGCAAAGGAAAAGATTCACAATCCCCAAAATGCTGACCTCACTCAAAGTTAAAGACATACAAATTAAACCAATGAGATACTGGCAAAGACTATAAATACCCATGTTTGACAAGAGTGTAGGGAAATAGGTCAGTGGCCTCCATATCCTTTGGTTCTACATTTATGGATTCAACCAACTGCAGGGAAAAAAATTTCAGGAAAAAACTACAAGCATTCAGGAGGCCAAAGAAGCATTATCATCATGAATTTGAGACCAGCCTGGGTAACATGTGAGATCCTGACTCAAAATGAAAACCAAAAAGAAGAGAGCCTGATGGATACTAAAGGACAGTATCTTTATCAGCTGCTGATGGGAGCATAAAATGGTTCAACCACTGGTGCTGTGTGCAGAGGGATAATTAGGAAATACCTTGCAAACTGAAAATATACATACTCTTTTCACTTAACGTTTCTACCACTAAAATTATCCTAATTATCCTATTTTAATACTCAAAAATACCAAGATATGTGTGGATAAGAACTTTTATTTTTTTCTGTCTTTTTGGGAAAGGGTCCCCTGTAACTCACTATGTAGAATAGGCTGGCCTTGAATTCACAGAGATCCACTTACCTCTTCCTCTGCTGGGATTAAAGGTGTGTGCTACCATGCCCAGGTAAGAACATTTATTAAAGAGTATATGAGAAAATAAACTAAAACACGTTGGATATACTGGTATGGAAGGGCTGCAAAATACATAGTAAGGGGGATGGTACAGTCTCATCTGGATGAATTTTTAAGCCCATATTGTTGGCACGCACATGTGTGTGTGTGTGTGTATGTGTGTGTGTATGTGTGTGTGTGTAAGCGCGTGCGTGTGTATTTAGGGAAAGAAGCTATAATAGTGGTTATCTCTGAGAGGAAGACTAGTTTGCAGTTGGAGAACAAGAATTATTTTTCTCAGTAAAAATGAATTTTAAAAATTATTTTTCATTTTATACCTTTTCACAGATCAAATTTATACCATGTAAAAAAATTTTAATTGAAGAGAGTTTGAGTAAAAACTCTCAATGCTCTCAAGAAGAAACAACTCAGGGATTATATTTTCATTAAATAAATGAGGCTCCTTTGAGGCATTTCTTCCCTAGGTTCCATCATCACTAACACACTTGAGGGATTACTAAATCAGACTTGGAAGCTTTTGATAAGCACAAAGCAGGTGCACAGGCTAATGAATACAGCACCTACTGACTCCTAAAAAGATATAAACGAACAAATTGACATCCTAATTTATAACTCATTCTCTTATAAGTGTGGTCATCATGACATAATCCCCAAGAATCTGACCAAGGCTCATGAACCATTAGCCAGGGCTTAGGACAGAGGGGCTCAATGGTCCCTAGGCTGCCCTCCACGATCACCTCAGGAGGCTCATAAATTTCTCTGACATTGAAGTAAGAATTTTATGCACCAACTTCACACTTCCACTGTGGTCAAAGGGGCAGAAGATATATCTACAAGAATGCCTGAACCTGCTTTGTTACAGTCACTAAGATCCCACTTAGAAAGAAACCAAATAGGTTAAATGACAAAACAGCAAGCCCTGTTCTAACCTGTCCTTTTGTCATCTCCTTTCATCTACTGCTTTATTAATGGCAACTCTGGTAAAACTGAAGCACACAACACCCCTAACACCAAACTGTTTGGTCTCCACTTGAGAAAATAAAGGCCTTGTCTCAAGAGAAAGAATCTTTCCAATTGGGAAAGAACAATGCATTCATTAATTACGCACCTAGTCCCTGGGTTCAGCTGTACTAACATGCCTATGCCTATTTGCTGGTGCTATCCATTTTTAAAAAGATTTATTGTACCTCAGAGTTTCATTTACATAAACATTAAGGATACAAACCTGGGAGGCAGAGGCAGGCAGATCTTTGTGAGTTCAAGGCCAGCCTGGTCTACATAGTAAGTTCCAGGACAGCTGGTGCTACAGGGAGACCCTGTCTCAAAAAAAGACAACAACAACAACAACAACAACAACAAAAGAATACAATACAAACCAGCTCTCAATTCTAAATAAGCATTATAAGCCACTAAAATCTTAAGCCAAAGGCTCCAATTAATCCCAAGATCAGAAGAATTCCTCCAAGAGGCATGCTGCATTAAGGACTGCTAGGTGTGCTTCCTGGCTGTGACGAAAAGAACGCATGGTCAACACAGTGGCAGCCTGTGATCAGAATTTCCAGTACTGTCGGGGAGAGGACCTACTTTCTGTCTTTTGACAATATGCTGCTGCATCAAGTGTGCTCTGTTTTCAGCTTTCAATCTCAAACCCAATGCAAATGTTTAGAATAGTGAAGAGGATAGAAGAGTCACTGACTCCATCATGGTAAACTAACAGCCAAAAGTACATCCTCAAAGAGTACATGAGGAACTTCTGAAATATAACTCCGTCTCCTTTCAAAAGCAACTCTGTCTATACATCTTCCTAAGAGACAGCATTAGCTACATCTTGCTCAACATCAAATCAACCTGAGGCATTTATAATGACCAAAATTTCTCGAGACAGGGCAGAATTTGTATGTGGTATAAAATCTGACCTGTGAAAAGGTATAAAATGAAAAATAATTCTTATTCTCCACCTGCAAATTAGTCCTTTCCTCAAAGCCCACCACTCTTCTAGCTTCTTTTCTAAACTGTCTGTGCTGGAAATGTGGACTTAAAAATTCATCCAGATGGGGCTGTACCACCCACTTTGCTCAAAGAAAATACATATCTGATACAACATTCTTTCACTATGGAAAGTTGATGGTGTTATAAAAGCTGACTTCAGATTAGGTGCCCATAGCCGTCAATCTTCAGGGAGAGAAGTCAGATCTCTCATTATGAGCAGAAGCTGCCCTCCAACTCAGATGCAGCTTATCAATAATTCACACACCATTCCTTCACTATTTTCTCATTTTCAGTTTCAAAATAGGGGGTCAGAAGGCCAGAAATATCAATGCAACAAAATTTATTCTGGTTAATGGTAACTGAAAATGCCATAAAAATGTACCAAAAATAATATAGAAAGTTAGCCCTGATTTTAAACGTCTCCTATCTAATGCTGAAGAATCCATCTACCTGCCAAAAAGGTAAAAGCCTTTAGCACTTTTAAAAACAAAAACAAAAAAAAAAAAACAAAAAACTTTCCACTTAGGAAAGACCACAACTGGAAGCATCCCAAGCACGTCTGCAAATCAGGCAATGGCACCACCTGCCAAATCCAACTTTTGACAAGTTTTTTTTTTTTCAAATATTCAAAATTGTCAACAGAGGCTGTAACCTGGAGAAAAATACGGACAAAATAGTGACCCAACACTTCTTCATGTGCTTGAAAATAAGTGCATTCTCTCCACAATTTCATTCTGTGAAATGGTATTTTCATCAAAGCCTGAACCCAATGAATAGCGAATACACAGAAACCTGCAGACTCAAAACGTTTTCACCTAAGCTATATGTTATTTTTAACCAAGTAACCATTTCAAAACTTCTTCCTTCTTGGAATAAATGTTTGCTGAGATGAAAGTAGTGCTGGCCAGTCAAGTATGACCTGTCAGCTCCAAATTGCATCTCATACTGACGCAGATCTAGTATCCAAGAGTAAGTAGGAAACCAACTGCAGGCTGTCACAGCCAGGACTACATAAATGTGAATTAATAACATCCTAAAAAAGAATTCCAAAAGAATAAAGTCCGAATACCTGGTTGTGCCCAAGGCTGTTGTGAGAGGGTGTACTTGGGGCCTCCCTGGGTGGCCATTGTTTTTAATGCAGAGACCTAGTAGAGGAGACAAAAGCAGAAGCTTCGTTTTACCAATGACAGGCAACAGGTATGCTGGCAAAGGCTAGTCAGCACCACTTACACCCAGTAAATAAAGCAGACTGGTTACCAAATGTGCAGCTCTAACAAAAATGCATCATGTCTCACAATCCTTTATGCTAGTTTCTTAAGCAAAACTTCTTTGTGATTTCAAAGCATATGTCACCCTGCCAAGAGCAAAAAAAAAAAGCCAAAGTCCCTTCAGGCATTCTGCCTGAAACATTTTTGGATAGGAAGGCAAAAATGAGGCCCTACAGAAATGTCAACACAAAACCAGTCCCTTCTAGGAGGACTGTTGTATCAATTCTAAGTTATTATCATGTGTTATTAGAAAAGTATCACCCATAGGTAAAGGTGGACCACAGTCTCCTTTACATACTGTAAGGATTTTCTCTCTCTTTTAATTACATTATAGTCAGAGAAAATGTCATTAAAACAAGCAACTGGGCATGGTGGCACATGCCTATAAATCCAGCATTTGGGAGGCCAAGTTTTGACATTAGCTGAGCTACAAAGTGAATCCCTATCTCAAAAAACAACCAAACAAAAACAAAAAGAATTTCTTTTCTACCATACACAAAAATCACTTCATTGTAATGAAAATACCATGTAGTTATATTAACATAGTCATTTAAACAAATACTTGCCCAGTCCTAAACTCTATACAGCTTAATGACCTTCTATGCAGTTAGAATGGCCATCCTGACGTCATGAAGCCTCATTTAGAGTCTTAGGTTTCCACTATCAATTACATTCTTGTGGGTTTGTGGGTTTTTTTTTTTTTTTTTTTTTTGGTCTTTTTGAGAAAGTCTCCCTGTAGTCCCCAGCAAATGCTGGGATTAAAGGCATGCACCACCACACCCAGCTCATCAATTACATTTTTATGTACTTACCCACCACCAGAAAACAAAAACCAGAGTTAAAATTTTAAAAAACATAGCTGGGTGTGGTGGCACACGCCTTTAATCCCAGAACTTGGGAGGCAGAGGCCAGTCTGGTCTACATAGTGAGTTCCAGGCCAGCTGGGGCTACAAGGGAGACAAAAAGAAAAAAATTTAACCAGGTATGGTGACACACGCCTTTAGTCCCAGCACTCAGGAGGCAGAGGCAGGTGGATCTTTGTGAGTTCAAGGCCAACATGGTCTACATAGTGGACTTCAGGGAGCCCCTGTTTCAAAAGA